TTTCGAAATTTTCCAATTTTCCAACTGTTACTAAAGTCGTAGGTCAATTCTGCTACCACCTGTTTAGCGAAAAGTTTTACATCTGAAAAGATAGGATATATTTTTAAAGATAGTGGAGTCAAAATACGTCAAATATAAGCAACACGGTTCAAAAAAAGTGACAAAACTGATTAAAAATTAAAACAATCATGGGAGACGTTATTTAAAATATTCAGGGCTGAAATTTGGGCACACTTGTTTGTTTGTAGCCTAAAATAAGCAAACAAATTTTGAACTAAATCGAAAGAGATCAGTTGTAATCGATTATACTTCTGACACGGAATGACCCGTTATTGAAATTTTCAAAATTATTTTTTAAAATTGTCAGACTACGAAATCTACCCAATATTTTTTTCGGATAACAGTCATTCTTTGTAAGAAGTTTACTAATAAATTGGCGTTTTAGTAGTAAAGCTATTTAACACTAGAATTTTTGTACATATCTTATAGGTTTCGAACTTCGGAATACGAAAAGGCCAAGAATTTTGTCGAACAGAACTTACATTTGATTTTTTACCTTTTCATTAAACTCTAATGTAAAAATCAGACTGCTAGTTATTACCAACATAATTCCTGTCACTTGATATGTTCTACGTGTTGGACTTGTTAACATGCCCAATATTTTTGTCCGACAAATATATTATATACCGTTGGCTATTGAATAAACTTAAAAACAACCTTCTAGTTTTCAAAATCATAAACTGGTCAGAATTGTTGCCGAGAGGGGGCATTTGGGCCTGTAGGACCCATCGCCGGCTCTTCGGACTTCTTCCTGTCCCCGGAATTCGATCGGGTGTTGACCATCTTTGTTTGTCGCTATTAAAATGGGTTAATATCGCTACTGGTATAAAATAACAGTTACCGTGACAAGTATCGGTTATAGGTATCAGTTCCAAGGAACGGTTACAAAATAGCAGATCAAAGATAGAAAACAGAACAGGTACAATAATCTAAGTATTCCTTGACTTACGGAAGGAATAGCTTAGTAGACAAGTGAATCAAATGGTATAAAAATACAATGCAAAGAAAATGTTTCTAAGTGTTTCTTGACTTACGGAAGAAACAACTTAGAACAGAAATATAGAAAAATGAAATATGTAAGTGTGAGAATAAAATATGGAAATATTTCTAAGTGTTTCTTAACTTATGGAAGAAACGACTTAGAAATGAAAAATAAAATACTTAAATTATAAAACAAGAAATGCAAAAATGAAAAGATTATAGTAATATGTCTAAGTGTTTCTTGACTTACGGAAGAACCAACTTAGAGCAAAGAATAAACAAGAGAATCAAATATGGTAAAATAAATGCACAAGTATTTATAAGTGTTTCTTGACTTACGGAAGAAATGGCTTATAATAGAAACGAGAAAATCAAATACAGAAAAAATGTGGAAATATTGCTAAGTGTTTCTTGACTTACGAAAGAAATAAGGATGGATAAACTATCAGAAATATTAATGCAATAATGATTATGAAAATATTTCTAAGTGTTCTTTTGACTCACCGGAAAAGAACGACTTAGACACACACAAATAACAAGGGAAATAAAATATCAAAGCAGTATTTCTAAGAGTTCTTTGACTTACCGGAAAGAACTACTTAGATACCAAGTACAAAAATCTAATATATAAAATAGAAAAAGCAAGGTAAATATTTCTAAGTGTTCTTAACTTACGGAAGAACAACTTAGATACAAAATACAAGAAAATAAACAATCAAAATAATCAAATAAAATATCAAATAATCAGTACATGAACAAATATAGATCAATGTAATATTCTAACCTGAAAAGTTCTGAATATACAATAATGCTAAAATAAAAATGGTATATAGGAAATCAGAAATAAAACAATAACTTAGTAGGAACAATATTAGCACCGACTAGGTCTACAGTAGAAGACGCAAACTCGACTGACTGATGAGAGAAAATCCACCTGCTTTTATGTAAAACAAATCCTTTGTTTTACACAGCAAAAGTGGAATTTCCTCCGCATCGAGCCAATCAGAAATTCGGATTTGGCCAAACTCGGAATTCCCAAGTATTTGGACCAATCTCCGAATTTCTTGATGCGTCCGGCACGGCTGTCAGCTCCTGACTGACACGCCTCCCGAGACAGAATGACCTTTAATTACGTTTTACAATTGGATCTTCTCCTGTTCCAGTCTTCCCAAACATTAAAGTTTGTCCGACTCGACTTGTTAAGCTATGAACAAATTTTTAGCTTGCTATTAATAAACTTTTTTTTTGTTACACAGAATAAAGGGCTGTATTTAAATTTGGAGCTTTTCCTGTTTTGATGTTATAAACATTTTTTATATTTCTTCATGACTGAAAAGTACAACCTGGAATATTTCTGCAGAAGTCTATTAAAAAGAAAAAATTTCTTCCATCTTATCTGATCTTATCTGATCTGTTACCGATCTGAACCAAACTTAGTAACTATTTTTTAACCCTGTCACCACATATCCCTTTTTAATTCTTCCAGAATACCCCCACACTTGGGCTTTTAATATTGCTATACGATACCTTTTCTCTATTTTCTCAAGATCTTCATTGAAGGTTATCCAGGTTCGACCTGTTGAAGGCTCAACATAATTTATTAAATTTTCCATTTTATGATTTCTTCAATTAGCCTTATACAGTGTGTAAACGCCAAATGGAATAAATTCATTATTTAGTTTACTGTACATATTTATAAAAAATCCCAAAACACGTCAAATTTAAATTATAACTTGACATTCTTTAACGTGAAAATGCAACCCCTACCCTCAACCCCCTTAGAATGTAGTACAACCCCCAATTTTTAAAATAGGAAGTATAGGCTTGTGATATATCGTTTGAAAGGTCCTTTCATTCTCCATTTAAAAATGTTGTCGCTTTCAAGTTTATTAAGAATAATTAAGATAAAATAAGTTAAAATCATGTGGTTACTGAAACTCGCTACAATACAATCAAAAACTAAAATGTAATGCAAAACGTAATAAAATGTAGAACACCAAAAAGAACTATGAATGTTAATGAAGTAGATGTTCAAAATGTTCACCGCGAACGTCTTGGCAACATCCTAATCTCAAATAAAACTGTCTTCTAACATTATTTAACATAACAGGCGTGATCGACCTAATCGCAAGCGTTATTCGTTCTTTTAAGTCATTTAAATCAGAAGGTTTAGTTTTGTACACATGGCTCTTCACATATCTCCATAAAAAGAAATCTAATAATGTAAGATCAGGTGATCGCGCTGGCCATTCAATCGATCCTCGCCTCCCTATCCACCGATTGGGAAATATTGTATCGAAGTACTGCCGGACATTAGGTTGGTAATGTGGTGGTGCTCCATCCTGCTGAAACCGTATCGTACTCGCTGGAACTTGAGGGTTTTCTGGATCAGGATATAAATTTGCCAACGTTGGAATGACATCATTTTGAAGTAGTGCCAAATAATTGTTGCCATTCAAGTTGCCCTCAATGAAAAAGGGACCAATGATATTGTTTCCTACAATCCCTGCCCAAACATTAACCTTTTGAAGGTATTGAATGTGTTCTTCTCTCATCTAGTGAGGATTTTTCGTGGCCTAGTAGTGGCAATTTTGCCGTTTAGCGTAACCGTTAAGTGAAAAAGTTCACTCATCAGAAAACATAACGTCTTCTAATTGGATAATATTGTTATCCAACATGTCCATCATTTACTTACAAAAAAGTTCTCCTATCAAAATCGTCTTCCATGAGCTCCTGAGTAGGTATCATGTTATTGGGATGCAATTTATTTTCTTTTAATATGTTTACTATCGATATTGTCTAGCATTGAATGTAGTGGATGCCTGTCTACTCGATGTATGTGGATTTTCCTGAAACTCAAGCAACACATCTAATTTGAGTTCATCACTCAGTGCATTGGCAGCTGCTTTTTTTATCTGCCTTACATGACCAAACTCGCAAAACTGCTTCTCTATTTTACTTATTGTTCCTTGGGATATAGGCGGTAAATTAGGAAATTTCTCATATAATAGGCGAGTTACTTCCTGTTGTGTTCCGGTGTTATCTCCGTAACTAATCATTTGTAAAATTGTTATTTTATGCATTTCCGTTAATCTAACCATTTTTCAGAATTGAATTGAACATACTTTTTACTTAAATTAAAATACTGGCAATTTAAATAAAACAATTTACTAATGCGTGTTAAAATAACGTTGCCACGGAAATTCTTTACAGTTTTTTAATGGTTATCATCTAAAAACCACATTGCAATGGTTTTTGTTCACTTTATTATTATCAAGACCTAAACGGGAAATAAGTTTTGAGTATATTTTAGCGAATTTCGATAACCACATGATTTTAATTTATTTTATCTTAATTAATCTTAATAAACTTGAAAGCGAGAACATTTTTGAATGAAGAATGAAAAGACCTTTCAAACGATATATCACATGCCTATACTTCCTATTTTAAAAATTCGGGGTTGTACCTCTCATTCTAAGGGGGTTGAAGGTAGGGGTTGCATTTTCACGTTAAAGAATGTCAAGTTATAATTTAAATTTGGCGTATTTCGGGATTTTTTATAAATATGTACAGTAAACTAAATAATGAATTTATTCCATTTGTCTTTTACACACTGTATGTATATTGTGTGTCAGAAACTCAGACTCCTCAGACTGACCAATAAGAGGCACCAATCAATAGTTTCTTATTTAGTAATATGGTAATCGTTGTGTTTTTTTTTATTGTTTTCTGACCCAAAGATAATATATATTTATATAAACTCAAAGACCGCCTCTTCATGACTATCCAGTTTTTAATTTTTTGCTTCATTCCAGTCACAGTCTGCTGGGTTATGTGTATCAACATTAAGGTGACGACAAATGAATTTTGAGATAATAATATTTTTATTATTTTTAAATTTTATTATTGTTTGTTATTTAATTTTTTCGTTGTTATTAAATTTTGTTATTTAATTCCAGCCAAAGTGGTGTGTTATCATGGAACGTGGGCTCGTTATAGAACTGGAAAAGGATCTTACCAACTTACTGATATAGACACTTCATTATGTACCCATTTAATTTACAGTTTTATCGGATTATCTACGTCTGGGAATATAGTTTCATTGGACTCTTATTTGGACAATGATTTAAGTAAGTATTGTTAATTATAAGAAAATGTTGTTAAAAGAAAAAAATATTGCATCTAATTAAACTAGGTAGTACTGTACTCAGTACTGTACTTTACCAAATAGTAGGTACATACAATGTGTATAATAAAAGAAAATCAAGAAAAATTAGTACGCATTTTTATTCAGGTATCTATCTAGTTAATGAAAGAAATTCAAATTTAATTTATTCCTTAGTTTAAAACAATACTTAAGACAATCTTAATTAAACATTTTAATTTTAGATAATCTAAAGAAATTCACGGCTTTAAAATCATCAAACTCGAATTTAAAAACTCTGGTTGCCATCGGAGGCTGGAACGAAGGTTCTACTAAATTCTCAACTGTTGCTGCATCAGCATCTCTGAGAAGTACATTTATACAAAATGCTTTACAATATGTTCAAAGTAATAATTTTGATGGACTTGATTTCGATTGGGAATATCCAGCTCAACGTGGTGGAGCTGCAGCTGACAAGGTAAATATGTTGTGATAATTTATAGAGGAAAGTCGCCTAATATGGGGTACTTTTTTTACAAATACTATTAAAAAATAACGTAATTGAGTTTAAGCACTATTTTTAAATTTTAGGTTTTCTCGGACACTTTTTAAGTGTTTAGTAAAAAGAGTCATGGGGTATCCTAACGTAGGGTACCATTTTCAATGTAAAATTTAAAACTAAATTTAATTATTTTGGGTTTTTGGGTAAAAATTATTTATTTATTAAAAAGGTATTTTTTAATAAACATACTAAAATCTAGTTATCTAAAAATAAGACACAACAAATTTATTTAACAGAGTGAAAGACACAAATATACCGGTAACTTTTACACCCAGAATATTTAACGTCAACCCATTTAAAATAGCTTAACACATCATCCACTGTTCGCTTCTGACATCTCTAGAATACGAAGTTTCTTAAAAAATACAAATGGTTTCTTCAAAATTTTCTAATAGGTCATCTACATCTGAATCTTGATACTCTTGTGCAGGAGCCGAATATAAAAATGAAGAACTGCTGGAACCTCTGTTACGTTTATTTGGTTTTTCTTTGGCCACTGAAAACTTCTTTTTTTGTTGGATAAGTTTAGATTTTTTTGACTTATTTGTTTTTGAATTATATACCTTTTTTTAACGCCAGACGTTAAGGGTAATTTTTTTGTTTCAATACTGCTCTCTAATGAATATTTGCATGTAGTGCTTATTACAATGGAGGTTTATATTGGCCTGTGGCGCTAAACTACATAACTATGGTTAACAAAGATCCGTGTTCGGCTGCGGTGATTGCGCCAATTTGTTTTTTTCCCTTTTTCCCACAATTCTCAGATGTTTATGTTGCACAGTGTTCAGACTGGTTGCATCACAATTAAAAATACTCGCTGGATTGTAATTTATTTCTTTTAAAAGTGCCTTGTACTTTTGAAAGTACAAGGCACTTGTACTTTTACACACATCAAAATAGTATCAAAAAGTATCGCAATGTTTTCATTGGTGAATGATTTAACACGCGCTTATGATATTCCTTGAGACATTCTTAGTGATAATTCCTCGTTCCTTGCAAGAAATCCGCTAACTATTTCTTTTGAACTATTTCTTTGGTCCAGCTGAATGGATTTTTTATATTATTTGCTTTGTATAAGCTATATGCCAATTTACGCCCGTCTTTTGGTGTAATTTCCAAAAACCTTTATGTCATTTCTAAGCAGTGATGGCGAGCATTGACCCTTTTTCTTGCAAAAATACTATTTTTCATCCTAAATAAAAATTTACTATGTCTTCAGGATTCTTTTCGATCTTAATGTACCTTTATAAGGTTGGTTTTGGTATATTGGGGGTTCACGCAATGTTCATGTAGCTCATTACTCCTTGCCAAACTACTAAAGTTGTGGAAAACATTTGTTCCTTATTCCACGCTAGTCCGATTTTAAAAAGTCTGAATCTGAATAAACAAGTATTTTTTATTGCATAGAAAAAATTGTCTTTAGTTAAATTCGAATACATTAAAAATATTAAAATTGGTTTGAAAAGTATAAACTACTAAAATTTTTTAATCCTATACTTAACTCGATGTCCTAAACGTATGTACTTTTATTATAATATGTACTTTTCCTAATACCTGTACCCCGCCTAATATAGGGTACTCCAAATTAGGAATTGCCACGTACCCCATATTACGGACACGCTACACTTTTATGAGGGGCGACTTTTTGCAAAAAATATGATTCTGTATATTATCAGTATTTTAATCTATTAGCCCACAAAACTATTTTATTAGGAAATAGTTTATTCGATTACGTACATGAAATCAACTTTAATTTTTTTTTCGTATTTTTTAAGGAAAACTTTATAACTCTACTGAAGGAAACCAAAGCAGTTTTTGAAGCAAATGGTCTATTAGTATCAGCTGCTGTCGCCGCTGGGGCTTCGTCTGTAGCACTATCGTACGATGTTCCTCAATTATCTCAGTAAGTATTCGGAAAAATTATATATTATACTATAAAAGTCACTACATATTTTCTACTAATATGATTCAAAAATATCTATATTAAATATTTCTCCATAAAAAATATTTTTTTGATTAAGATTTTGACTTATTTTTGACTTATTTTGACACCATTTTTTCTTCCATGTCATCCATGACTTGGCAACATGGCTGAATACAGCACACACGTTGAAAATGCTGCATTAAATAAAATGTGTCTAAAGTGTTCAAAAAAAGTTGTAAGTGCTTTAACTTGTATAAAATGCAATAGTTTTTATCATCCTGGTTGTGCAAAATCTTTAAATCATGTGAAATACGTTAATAAAAGTGACATTGTTTGCTGTGAACTTGAGGATATGTCTAACCTTAAATTGGACGATGATTTCCTAAATGCTATTCAGCAGGTTTCGATTGACAATAAGGTAGATATAAAGATATTTAATTATATTATTAAACAAAAAGACCTTATTATTAATGGTCTGCATCAACAAATAAAGATATTAACAGACCAAATCAACTTTTTATATCCAAATAAAAAAGGAAATCCCATGTTTATCAATGAAGATAAAAAACCTGAGGATAAACAAGCATTTGCCCAAAGCAACAAATTACAAAATATTCATACAGAAAACCATAACAGCGTTGCCAAAGGTTCTCAAAAATCTCAAATTACTATAAAACAAACTTCCAGTGCTATTTTAGAAGCTGAAACTGCTGCAAAATGTAACAAGTATATTAGTTTAAACCAAGATATAATACCTGAGTCGGAAGAAAGTCGTTGGCAAACTGTTTCTCGGAAAAAGTCCAGAAGAAAAGTCACGATTGGAAATAATGAAGATATAAAAATAAATGGTGTACAATTTAAAGGTGTTCCTAAATATACGGACTTGCATGTTTATAGGCTAGACCCATCAATGTCTAATGAAAATTTATTGAAACTAATACAGAACCATTTTCCCGAGGCTATGAGTAGCCCTCTGAAGTCAAAGTTTCCAGACCAGTATGCATCCTTTAAAGTGAGTATTTATAACCAACATTTTGAGAAAGCTATGGATCCTAGCATATGGCCCCAAGGTGCATATGTGCGGCGTTTTTTAGTGAAGAAGATGCCTTTACCTCAAATAGTATAAATAAATCTCAAAAGTTGACAGTTTGTCACTTAAATTTTAGAAGTTTGAGGTACAAAATTTAATACTTGGAGGAATTGACGGTGTCTCTAAATTACCCAGAAGTATTTTGTGTTAGTGAAGTGTGGTGTGATAAACATGAAATTTTAAATTTGTTCTTGGACTCTTATGTATTAAGCGATTTCTTCCATCGTTCAGACTCAGGTGGGGGAGGGGTCGCAATATTTGTAAATGTAAGTTGTTCTTTTACTATTAAAAACTGTTCGCTTGCTAAGATTGATAAAATATTTGAGTATGCTTTGATTGATTTGGTATATCAAAATAACATTATAACATATTATTAACAACATGTTGGCTGTTTTTACAGATCATCAAAGGATACACAAACGTTCATAAATAAAATGGACGAAATGTTATCAGAAATATTAAACAAAAATAATATTATTTTCATCTGTGGTGACTTCAATATAAATTTTGATCCAAAGGTACAAAATATAGATGCATTAAGATTAAAAAATATTTTTACCTCTTATGGTTTAAATCAATGTATTTTTGAATATACTAGAATACATAATGACTCTAAAACTGTGATTGATAATATTTTCTGTAATGTAAATATTAAGTTTTTATCTTGTTCTGTTGTTTATACCGATGTGAGTGATCACTTTTTACAGAAGTTGAATACAACTTGAATGCTTCTTTTTTGGTGGATAATATTGTTTATAAACGTGATTTTAATAGCACTCTTAATATTAATTATTTTAATCAATTGCTCTCTAGGGAATCTTGGTGCTTTCTAAACTCAGATCTATCTTCGGATAACAAGTTTTGCATATTTTATGAAAAAATTTTGGAACTATTCGATAAAGCATTTCCTTTGCAAACGGTGAATACCAGACGATTTTCTAAACAGTCTAAAAACAAGGGATGGTTGACTTCTAATTTAATAAATGAGGGAGATTTTATTAGAGACATTTTCAGATCTATAAAATATTCAGAAAGTCATGAGCTCAGAATACGGTATAACATTCTAAAAAAAAATCATGAATACAAAGTTAAGTTAGCCAAGCAAACTTATTTTAATAATAAAATGATAAATGCACAGAATAGTACGGCTGAGGCTTGGCGCATCATAAATCGAAACACTGTCGGAGGTAAAAATCGAAACTCTTCAAAATACCCAAGTAATTTTAAAAATAATTTGGGAATTTCTGTGGATGACACTCATGACATAGCTGAATCTTTTAGTCAACATTTTTCGAATTCCGTAAAAAATTTAATTAGTCAAACTTCACCTGACTATAATCCTAAGAATCTTTCTTCGCCTATACACTCCCTTTTCCTTTATCCTGTTAGTGATGAAGAAATAAAGAGTATAATTAAAGATATCTCAAAAAAATCCTCTGCTGGACTGGATGAGATCCCGTATTCTATGTTATTACATGTATCTCATAACATATATAAACAATTAACATTTCTAGTAAACCTTTCATTTCAGGAAGGGATTTTTCCTCAAATTCTAAATACTGCTCTAGTTGTGCCTATACATAAAAAAGGTGACAAATCAAAATTTGATAACTATCGAGGCCTATCACTTTTATCTGTGTTTTCAAAAATATATGAGAAGGCATTTCATACACGTCTCCTCTCATATATTAAAAGGCACAACATTATAGAAAAATCTCAATTTGGTTTCCGTGAAGGTATAAGTGTGCAAGATGCACTACTAGCGCTGTGCAATCATATTTTATCGAACTTTGATAAGGGTAATAAAGTTATCTGTTTGTTTTTTGACTTAGCACGAGCTTTTGAAACTGTAAATCATCCAATACTGCTGGAAAAACTTTATCATAGTGGTGTTAGAGGAACTGCGTTAAAGTGGATCCAAACCTTTTTATCGAAAAGGTTTCAAAAAATTAAGGTTAATGTGAATGGAAATATAATATTTTCTTCAGAAGAAAGTGTCCTCTCCGGAGTTCCACAGGGAAGTATCATTGGCCCTCTTTTATTTTTGATTTTCGTCAACGATTTAAATCAACTGATAAACGATAGCTCAACATGTTTGGTTCGGAATCCATTAGATAATTTTTCTGATGCAATAAGCGTTCGAGGAGAAAACTTGGAACAGCAATCAGGCTGTTACGTCACTCAATTTGCTGACGATACCACAGTTGCACTAAATTCCAATAATTTTTCTCATGTAGTTCAAAAAGCAAACTGTCTTGTAAAAAGTATGAGTCTTTACTGTTTAAATAATGCCCTAATCTTAAATGGATCAAAGACCAATATGGTAACCTTTTCACCTTCTACTATGAAGATGAGTCCATTAGTAAGGCTTGACAATGGGTCTGTGGTAAATAGCCACTCCACCAAGTTGTTAGGTGTTTATCTGGATTCTAATTTGTCTTGGAGTTCTCACGTTGATTATGTAGTGGGAAGATTGTCTGTACACTGTTATGTTCTATGGCAACTTAGGAATTTTGTCTCCCTAGAAATCTTGAAACTTTACTATTTTGCTCATGTACAGTCAATTTTGCAATATTGCTTAGTTTGTTGGGGAAATTGCTCGCGTATTAATGAGGTGCTTGTTCTTCAAAAAAAAATTATTCGTACCATGACGTTTAGAAGGCGCTTGGATTCCTGTAGACCAATTTTTAAACAATTAAATATTTTAACTGTAATTTCGCTGTATATTTTCAGTTGTGTTGTATATGTAAAGTCACACAGATGTAATTTCATTTGCAGAAATGATGTTTCCTTAATGAGTGGCTACAATTTTCGTTACAGAAATGATTTGGTGACCCCTGCTCGTCACTTGACTGTTGTGGGCAAGGGTCCTTACCCAACATGCGTTAGTTTGTATAATAAATTACCTAATTATGTTAAAGAGTTAAATATTTATGTATTTAAGAGAACAGTTAAGAAATTACTTCTGGCAAACACTTTCTATTCGTTAGAGGAATACTTGCAGGCATCTTTTTAACAATTTGTATGTTTTTTATGTATATTTTATGTTTTATGATTGTGCTTATAGTTTTTACTTTTTTTTTACTACCTATGTACCTATAGTTTTTTAGATTGTATTTTGACGCATTTCAATACTTGTAAAAGTCAGATGAAATAAAGAATATTGATTGATTGATTGATTGATTATAGCGGTTACTAAGGATTCCATAAGGAATTTTATATTCTTCGGTAACGCGACGTAAGGACCATCCTTACGGATAGTTAACGGTATTGACAAAGTTATGGGGTACAAACTGGATATCCAAGAATCTGTCTATAATTTAATTGGATGGTTACCAAAATGTGAAATTGTAAATTTGTTTAGAGATTGCATCAAAAAGATTATTACTTAAATTATTTTAATTATATTTAGAGACCATTAAGTACTCATTGAATATATATTTTTTTCTAGATATGTCGACTTTATTAACGTAATGTTATACGATTTGCACGCATCTTGGGATGGAGTATTGGGACATAATGCACCCTTATATGCATCATCCATTGACACCACTGCGGCGAGTAAACAACTTAACGTTGTAAGTATTTTATTTTATATATGTAAAAGAATCTTTTACCTATACGCAATCTCTTCTAAAAATAAAGTAGATATGATATTCTTCTCTTCTTTTTCCTTATTCAATTTTTTTAGTAATTTTCATTTCCAATGCCTTCATTTTTTTTTAAACGAAATTACAAAAATCAGGAACTTTATACCATAATATATAATCATTTGATATGTTATAACAGTGTGGTCCATCCTTTTACACGTCCCGCCTCGTTCAAAAAGTTTATTTTAAAAAATATTATACAAACGAAACATTATTTACAAACATTTTATTATGGTTTACAATTTACATGTTATGTTTCAAATTTACCATAAAATAACAAATCAATGGGATACTTGAGGCAAGGGTTTATATTCTACTAACTTTTGCACATCTATATCTAGTCGTAGTAAGTCTAATACACGCTTCCAGAGAATCGTTTTCCATGCGACTACGTGTTTCAGATTTAATAAGCTTCAAAGCCGAAAATGTACTTTCACATGTATACGTACTACATACTACAAGCATTGAATATAGTTTCAACGTAAAGTAATGAAGTTTAAGAAAACGATCCTTGGAGACTTCCAAACTTCCAAAAGGTACTAATGTCTTTATATTTCTTTGCTTGATAGAATGAATCGAACTGTAGTTAGCACAGCTCTAATTGGTATTCTGTTGATTGGTTCTAGATGTTGACTCCCATTGAATTGTTAAAAAGCTCAAGATCGGGTTTTAGTGCACCAAATACCGAAAACCTTTCATCGAATTCTCTTTTTATTTCTGTACGAACTTTTGCAAACCTCGAGCAATCGACCATGGTTTCTTCTTGATTTATTTCGAAACACGCAGGAAAGTGTGTGAGGTCGTTTATTTTCATGCAGTTCTCGACAAAATCAAGTTTTTTGCGAAATGTCACAATTTGACCAACCAACTGTGGTACTGGCTTATTTTTCTCCTGTGGTTGTAGATTTAATATCTTCAAGTGAGAGGTAATGTCTGTTAGAATGCCAGTTCATGAAGAAATGTTTTGTTTTTAAGCTTTGTTATAAATACGTCCGTGTTAATAACAATTTCCGTTTCAAGAATCTGTAAGATCTCTTTTCTTAGAGAAAAAAAAATGTCTAAGGCATTTACCTGCATTTAACCAGCGTATCTCTGAATGTAGGCGGAGGTTCTTATGGTCAGTATTTAATTCCTCCAAGAAAGAGATGAATTTTCGGTGTTGCTGTTAGCTGTAAACAACACAGTTAACACTATTTTCCCGCAAAAGTTAAGCCAATCCCGTTATGCGTCCCGTCATTGCTTTTGCTCCGTCGGTGCAAACGCAAGAGCACTTTTGAAAACCGCCTATATTTTTCACAGCGTCACTAACTTCAAATATATTTATTCCTTTGGTCCTGTCTTCCATGTGGTGCAGTTTTAGAAGTTCCTCAGTTACACAAAAATCTTCACTGATGCATCTAACAAAAATTAATAGTTGATTTTTGTCAGTAATTTCAACATATTTGTCCAGGGCCAAGGAGTAGTACAAACAATTAGGAACTGTGTCGACCATTTTTTTAAATACATGAGTATTCAGCTCGTTAACTTTTCTAGATACAGTTTGATGGGAAACTGAAACACACTCAAAAATTTTTGGCCATCTTTTCATCTCCAAAGGATCGCGCCATTTTAAAGGCACACCTCTTGATCATTTTTCCATCTCTAAATGCTTTTTTACTTTTGACAAGCTCCAAACATGCTTCATATGATGCTGCTAAGCCTGATAATTAAACAGCTGTCGGTTTGGTAAATAGAGATTTTTGTTTATTCAATTTAAATTCAAAACTAATACTAATTATAAAGTTAAGTAGTTATACAATTAACGAAAATTGAATTGTGACACAATAAATAAATAAATAATGCTGTCCGAGAAAAAATATCCCATCCTATAAAAAAAATAAAGTGCTATCAAGTTTATTTTTAAAGATGTTAACACTAGCTGCCGATATGGTGTCTTGATCCAAATTGTTCCAGATATTAAAGATTCTGTTTAGCAAGAAGTTCGCCCTGGACCTTGCAGTAGTTTGTTCCCTCTTTAATTTGTATCGATGGCCTCTTAATCTATCGTCTTCATTCAAAGTGAATATGTTGTTTAGGTTCCCAAAATTATGTTTTAAAATACGGAAGGACATAATTAGGTCACCTCGAAGACGTCGCTGCTCGAATGTCGTAAGATGAGCCATGAATAGTCTATCTTCATAGTTAGGTCTTACACGGCCGTATGCCAGTCTTGTGGCTTTACGCTGAACGTTTTCAAGTAGGATTTTATCGCGACTAAGATCTGGATTCCACACTGGTCCGGCAAACTCAAGAATAGGTCTAACGTATATTGAGTAAAGTTTACTAACAGAGGTTAGAGATATGCGTGCAAAACACTTACGAATCAAAAACAGTTTCGAGTTAGCACGTTTACACACCGACACTATGTGATCAGACCAATTTAAGTCACTATTAATTATCACTCCGAGATCGTTGTGTGAGGTTACAGAGTTTAAAGGATGTCCATTAATAAAGTACGGAAGTGATGGGTTATTTTTGCCGATATGTAAAACAAAGCATTTTTCAATGTTAAGCGGAAGTAACCATTCTGAGGACCATTTGAATATTGCGTCAAGATCTTGTTGAAGAATATGTTGGTTAATAGTTGGATTCACATATAACTTAGTGTCATCAGCGTAAATGGAAACCTTACTGGATACAATGAGCGGAAGATCACTAGTGTAGACACAAAAAAGTAGCGGTCCAAGTACTGATCCTTGTGGAACTCCACTCTTGACTGGCTTATCTAATGAGTGGTCTTCCCCAACACGAACCCTGAAGTATCTGTCGGATAGAAAATCTTGTATCCAAATGTTTAATTTTCCGCGGATACCATAGTGATCCAATTTAGCTAGTAATCGACGTTTTGGAACACGATCGAAAGCTTTGGAGAAGTCTAAGTAAACTACATCGACAGGATTCCGATTGTTTAAAGATAATGACCAATCATTTACACAATGAAGTAAGTTTGTGATCGTTGAACGACCTTTGATAAATCCATGCTGTTGGTGAGGGATGACATTTTCTTGAAGAAGGAACTCGGACATAGCTTCCGAAATAATCGATTCCATGACCTTGCTGACAATAGGAACCAGGCTGATTGGACGATAATTATTGCAATCAAGTTTATTACCTTTCTTGAATACAGGAGTAACTGAAGCCAATTTCCAGGACGAGGGGAGGGAACCTTGATTAAAAGAAGCAGTCATTATGAGAGATATAGGGATGGCTACAGAATCTGCACATTGTTTGAGGAAAAAAGAGGTGAGTCCGTCTAATCCAGGTGATGAATTATTTCGCAGTTTCCTTAAATGATGTTTAATTTCATCCGGTATGAAAGATATATTGTCAAGAGTTTTAGACAAACGAGGGCACATTATTTGAGGAATGGTATCGTTAGATTCATCTGTAAAAACTTGAGAAAAGAATAACGATAAACATTCCGAAGATTCGTTATTCGAAGAACATAAAGACCCATCAGCTTTTTGAAGCAATGGTATGGAGACTTTAGAAGATAAAGATGTACGAATGTACCGATAAACTTTTTTACTATTACCACTTGCAATGATAGATTCCTCAAATTCTGTTCTTAACTTTAGCAAAGATTGTTTGACTCGGTTAGAAAAATTACGGTGGGCGAGAAAATCATCAGGGGAACCAGTGAGTTTATATCTTCGCCAAAGCTTTCGCTTATGTCGAATTAAATGAGTAGCTGAGAGGTTAATCCAAGGTTTTAGTCGATTTCTATATACCTGCCGTTCGGTTGTATGATCAGAAATTGTTGTAATAGCAGTATGAAGAAAAGAGTCCCACATTGACGATGGATCAGAGTGATTAGGAAAAATAGATTGCCAGTTTATCTGGGATAAAACTGAATTTACATCAAAGAAATTAGTAGTGGCATACGTTACGAAATTATTTTTGCAAGGCGGTGTTAAACTAAATTGAATGTGAGCAGTAATAAGCGAGTGGTCAGAAAGACCCACAGGAGTGGACACTTCAAGTGTAGAAATTAATTCATCGTCATTTGTGAAAAATAAGTCTAAAATTGAAAGATTATTGTTGGCTCTAAACCTTGTAGGTTCAGTTATCAGTTGTAATAAATTTGAGTTCATGATAAAGTTTTTAAACAAATTTTGGGAATTAATAGTATCAGTTTTGGAAATAATGGGCCAGCTTATTTCTGGAAAATTGAAATCTCCAACAACAATAAGATTTTCAAGGGATGATAATTCCTCAAGTTTGTTAATAAGCATATTGTCCTGAGTAAGTACTGTATCAGGAGGTCGGTATATGCAAACTATATTAAATATGAAAGAGTTTTTAGTAATAAGTAAGTGGATAATTTCTATACCGGGTACGTCTATTGTTTTATTACTGATGGAAAAAGTGTTGGTAATTTCATTTGCTAAATAGTTGCATACTCCTCCTCCTCGACGAGTACCTCTGTCTCTACGAAATATAGTAAAATTATCAATAGAAGAATTAAGCCACGTTTCTGTTAGGAGAATAATGTGAGGTTTTAAAAGTTGAACAGTACTTATAAATTCATTAAATTTGGACATAAGAGAGTTTAGATTCGTATACATAAGAAGCCAATCCGTAAATTTTAGTGCAGAAGAATTATGAACGAAATTTCATTATCTTTGGACAGCCATTCACATATTTAATCGTAAGGTCATTTTCTCCATTATTTTTACGAGTTTCAAGCTCAGTACGAAGTTCCTTTAAACGAAGTTGCTGCATAGGTGTCTTGTCATCAATAACAGAATAAGTTTCAGTAGATTGGTTCTCCAAAAGTTTATTTTTGTTACGAAGAATTTTTCGAGTGTGGTGTTCAGAACTCATTAATCATTTTGATTTGGTTTACCGACTCTATAAAATGTAACAAGACTTTCTTGACATCCAATGACTTCTAGGGCTAAATGTATTTTATTCTTATCATGATCTTTTTATTTTGTGCGTCTCCTGTAGGTTCGGGGACGCCTCTAACCAAAAAATTTTTGGAACGAGATATGCGGTCAGCGGCTTCATTGACAATGCTGTCAGTAAATTCTGTTGTTGTAATATAATTCAGATAGTTTAATATCAAAATCTTCAATTTTCTTCTTAATGTCAGCTTTTAAACTCGATAAGTAGACTCTTGATTTCAGTAATATTCGTAATGTTTGAACTGCATGCATTGCATAGTATACATATCCCACGTATTTTTTGCCTCGTAACTCGATCATCGACCGACAGATCCGTACAAGCAATGTGTATTGGTTTCTTACAGCCATCGCACTGGAGCTTTCTATCGGAGGTAGAAGTTAGCTTTGAACAATTAGCGCAAAACGATGTATTAGGCATGATTAACTTTGTGCTAGTTTTGGATATGAATAATTCATATAATATTCATATAATTCATATAATTATTATAATTATTGGATTGATAAAACAGCAAATTTGTCGTTATCACTTACTGAACAATTCATTCAGAATTGTTCAACTATTTATAATAAATATACTTTGTTTAAATATATTTTTAACTTTGAAAAATTGTATTTTTATAAATTGTGTCACTTGACATTTGTGAATTTGACAATTGAAGAAATTCGATGAAGAAATATTGATTTTCCCATTTTTCTTGAAACGTACGATTTTCTTTTCACGACAGCTGCACGACACGCGCAGCTGACTGAAGCTAACTGCCTCCTCATTGGGAGTGGGTGTTCAAGGTTAACTACTTTCTTAAGATTACGGAAAGTTAGACAGGGTTGGAACAGGTAAAAATTATTGATGGCAATATTTTTGAAATGTGTTTGCGGGGGCCGCAGTTTAAGGAGCCTCGGGCCGCATGCCGCCCGCGCGCCTGAGGGTAAGGATCACACTGTGTTATAATATTCGTGTTCTTTAACTTAAATATTCATTTTTAAATGCCTTTTAGTGAAAGTCGTTATAAACCGGTTTATTGTACCCAATCGGTCTATTGTATAAATGCCGTTTATTCATGATACCCACTTCAGAATTTTGGAACCCTGAACCAGTTTGTACAGGTCTAGTGGAGCGGTAGCATATGTTTATGGAATCATTTGGTAATCTCCAAAAAGTTCAAAACAGTTTAGTCATACCATCTATGACTGTTAGGACTTTGAGCAGCGATTACTGCTCGAAAAGAAAAGTATACCTTTTAGCAAAACTTTTCTAGTGAGAGTTGTATTACGCTCAAATTTGTACTTCTTCGGGTTGTGGACGGTGCATTTTGACAGTTCTAAAGTCGGTATATACCTGAACCGTAGTCTTTCATTATCGTTTCGTTACCGCCTTACATTTTATCACCGTCCAATTATTTCTATGCCAATATAGTAGCAAATGTTTCTTCAATTACTTTTTTGACTTTGTTTAGTATCCCCTTTAAACTTATACTATTTATGTTATATGCTTTTTAGGATGCAGCTGTTTCAAACTGGATTGCTTCAGGCGCCGATCCCCAAAAACTTATCCTTGGTGTACCTATGTATGGAAGAAGTTTTACTCTCGCCAATAACAACAACGTAGCTTTGGGAGCAGCTTCTACTGGAGCAGGTACTGCAGGTCCCTACACACTAGAAGCAGGATATTTGGGATATAATGAGGTAAGATAAAACTATATAATAACACCTTAAGCCTTAAGGCAAGTTTTACATTGTCAGTTTAAAAACTTCGTTTTTGTTTTATTTATATAATTTTTTTTGAAATCATTTCGATGACACTAATTGCACGGGAAAATAAAAAATTTACACATTTCACAAATATTGTGGCTTATATACATACACCGGTAAATTAGATGCTACACACTCTCGGCAGGGATCTATGGAGGAGTATCACCGAGACGCAAGACGATATCTCTTGTCGCACTGCTCCACCATAGGCCAATAAGACACCAGCACATTCTAGTCTAAGCCGCAGATTCATTTTAGAATTTTAAACTGCTGAGTTATCCTTTTTTATTTTTATTGTACACCGTGCCAGGGTTTGAACGCACATTCATTCAGTATTTCAGCAGTCTATCTAAGCTTAGCTATCCGAGCGACCGTTAAGTACTAATCATAGTTCAATATTGACTCTGATTGCTTTAATGGACACTTACGAAAAACTTGCTACATATAATGAAGTTGAAGAATATATTACATATGATCACATATTGTCTTTCTGAGATTGAGCTTGCTATTTCATAAAAGAAACGTTGCATTTTAGATAGTTGTCATCTTTTGTCTCCCACTTGTTGGGTTTTGTTTAATTATCTTATTTATAGAACAGTTTCGAGCAATATTCTTTTACATCATTGATGGGTGCTCTCTCTGTGTCCATTTCAATGCTGTCTATCGTGTCAAAAACCATTTCTCTTAAGGTACACAAAACATGTGTAACTTAACCACCATAATTGGCAAAACAACTAAGGCACATCTGGCATACACATGTGACCAAAGCCCTTCGACCGAATTCATTCGATGTTTTCGACGTTCGATAGAATATTTGGTATTCGTCCACATTACAGTGAACGAATTCGTTTGTAGCGATTCGATCAGTTTCGCAGGTAATTTTGGTGATTCGTAACGCGGCAGTTATTTATTTGATGTAAATGGTTAAAATGACATCGGATAAGGATATAATTATTGCAAGTGCGTTGTATATTATTATTAGTGAGGCGGAGGCCAAAGCAGTAAAAGACCTCCCCAAAAACGAAGAAAACGGCGCTGGTGAACATCATTGTTTAAAAGCAGAGGCTGGTATAGAGCTATAGACTTATTTAATGATCTAAAAGCTGAAATGGAATACGGGCTTTTTCAAAACTTTTGTAGAATGACGTCTACCAATTTTGAATGCTTATTAAATGAAGTTGGTCCAAAAATCGCGAAACAAGATACAAAGTTTAGAGAAGCGATACCGCCAACAGAAAGGTTAATGTTAACTCTACGATATTTAGCTACTGGTGACTCATTTATGCACTGGATTCCATAAAACTTTCTGCTCCCGATATAATCCAGTAAGTTTTGAATAAGAAGAAGTCCACTCCATTATTGCTAATTAGAAAATCAAAACAAAATCGCGACGACGTTCGACATTTTTACTTGGAAGGGTACACACTAAACAAGGCTAAACGAATTCATTCTTCAATTTTCTTTTGATGTACCGCCCAGTGATTGAACTCTAGCGAAGGCAAACACATGCGTTTGCTATCGTTTGTTCGGGCGTACACATTTACTGAAGGCATTTGGTCGCAAGGCTTCGGCCACATGCGTTCGCCAAATGTGTACGCGCCTTTACATAAGTAATAGATGAATGATGAGTAATAGGTTATGTGATGAGTCAGAAAACTCAGCACAACTGTAGAAGCCGTTGGCAAGCTAGAGTAATACAGAAATTGTCAATGTTTATACTAATTCGCTCTAGTCCTTAAACTAATAGAGGGCAGCTTCCACAAAAGAAAAATACGTAAACTAATTTGTTTATTATAACGCCTAATAGAACTGAAATTTATAATTGTATGTTTTGGTCACTGGGAACTTTCATGGTCTTGTGGGTAGGTTTAATGTAGGTAACTGGCAAACGTCGTGACGCTTAACAGATTTACTTATTTTGTTTATAAAATACCGATATTTTGTTGATTTTATTTGAAAAGCGATATTTTCTACTAATTATTTCATTTGTAACTTTTTTTTAATCTATTCTGTAAACTTAAAAGACTAAATAAAATTAATAATATTTTTAGATTGTTGAAAAACAATTAGAAGGAGGATGGACCTACGTCTGGGATGACGAACAGCAAGTTCCCCATATGTACAAAGACAATCAATGGGTAGGATTTGATGATCCAAAAGCCGTACAAGTTAAAGTAAGTGTTTTAAGTTCATTACGAAATAGTGGATAAAATCATAAAAAAATTTATCTGAGATATCAAAAATTACAATCATTTCAACTTTAAATATCTATTTTCTATTAACAAGAGAAAGTTAGCAGACCAAGCAGAAACTCAAATTATAAAGAGATCAATAATACACACAAAAACTATTACTTTGTTTTATATTTGCCAGAAAGTATTTATGATTTGAAGAAAAGCATTGCTAGTTCATAACATGGCAAAAATTTAACAATGGTCTCTTTCCTCAGAATCTTCGTATGATTGCAATCTATAAGACTTTCTTCTGCTCTTGTCATATTGCATTAATGGAAGATTAAAATTATCTTAATCTATATCTAAAATTACTCTATCTCAATATTATTCTGTCAATTAACATCGGTAATCTTTTAGAGAAAAGTCTAACTATAATGAAAAATGGACGAGCTTCTGGGCCTCCAGGTTTCCCCATTAAACTTTTAATGTATTGTTACGAACATGCTTTCGGCATGACTCATATAACGGTTACATCTCGAAACGGCTTCCAGAATCATCCTTAGATCTCTCGAAGGCAAGAGAACAATGGGCCACGTGCGCGAATTAGAGGTGGGAACTTTCTAGAAAATAGTAACTTAGGTATATATATGTAACGACCTTAGGAGTTAGTTAGTCGTTAAGATATTACCGAACTGTAAAGTTATAAATAAATATATTTATATAAATTCGAACCGCTCGTTTTATTTAAAAACGGTACAGTTGGTGTCCGGTGTGAGATTTGAATATAAATGCAACAGTGATTTTTTGAAAAAGACTTGAATTTTTGAAAAAGACTTTTGAACTTTTGAAAAGTATTGTTCGTCGGGAACATCCGCGTAGTTCGGTAGTGAACGTTGTACCAAAGAACATTTCAAAAAGTACGTGTGTGCCTGACCAAAGATGCTGCTAGTAGAACTTTCAGTGAAACAGTTGCGTGAGCAACTAGAAGAACGCGATGAAGACTGCAGTGGGTCCAAGAAGATACTACAAGAACGACTGAAGACTGTTCTCAACAAGAATGGAGAAGACCCAGAGACATTCCAGTTCCAGTCAGCAGAAGAAGCAGTTTTAACGAAAATGGAAAATGTGTCTAGAAGATTCGACGAGAAATTTGAGAACGTCTCGCAAATGATTGAGGTTACTTCTAAAAAAAATGATGATAAATTAGAGAACGTTTCCAAAAGATTCGATGAGAAATTCGAAAATGTATCTCAAAGATTCGACGAGAAATTTGAAAATGTTTCTCAAATGATGGAAGAAACTTCTAAAAAGAACAATGAAAAATTTGACGAAGTTTCTAAAACATTTGATAAGATACAGAAAAATGTAAACGACAAGATAGAAGACGTAGAAGAGAAGATCAAAAAGTTAGAGAGCATGATAACTAACACAAAAATGCTACCACCAGTTAACACAGTAGCCTTAGATCCGGTAGTGAAAGAAGAATCACCGAGAGACGAAACGACACATCATATGAGATTCAAATTGCCACCATTTGATGGAAAGTCCTCTTGGTCCATATACCTTAGACAATTTGAAGCTATTGCGACAGCCAATCATTGGACAGAACAAGAAAAAGCCGTTTCCTTGACTGCTGCTTTACGAGGTGATGCTGCAGATATCCTAAGATCGATTCCTAAGGGTCAAGAAAAATGTTACCAGACCTTGTTTACTCGACTAGACAAACGTTACGGAGATGCCCATCTACAACAAGTCTACAAGGCGCAACTAAGAAGTAGAACTCAGCGAGCCAGTGAGAATTTGCAAGAGTTTGAAGCAGATGTTGCTCGTATAGTGCGGTTGGCTTATCCGGAGGTACCAGACAACATTTTGGATGAAATTGCCGTAGATACATTCGTCAATGGGTTAAAAGAAAGTGAATTACAGAAAGCTTTACGACTAGCAAGACCGAAAGTTTTAGATGAAGCGCTCGCTATTGCCTTAGAACATGAAACAGCTAGTCAAACTTCACGGAGCCATCGAGTAAGAACCATCGAAGAAGGCGACGAACTAAACGATGAACGTCTAGAAGAAATGGTAAGAAAAATAGTTCATAACACGATGCCGAAGAGACGCGAGCCCAGATGTTGGAATTGTGGTGACGTAGGTCACATTCGCCGCAATTGCAAGAAAATGATACAACAGTCGGAACTAGAACGGGTCGACACTAAGGGGCAACTGCCGACCTCGAGAAACACAGCCCCCATAGTAACTGTGAACATTACGTCCTCCGGTGGAATTCATAGCTTGTACATCGAGGGTCGTATTAACAATAAATGTAGATCGTTTTTGGTAGATACAGGTGCAACAAGAACTATTGCACGGCCAGAAGTAGTACGAGACCATCTTAAATTATCGCCTGCAACAGTAAAGCTTAGAACAGCAACTGGTGAGATAATTAATACATATGGCGAGGCTAATATGTCAGTATCCATTGGCCAGACCACAGTGAAACATAGAGTATTAATTGCAGAGATCTCCGATGAGTTCATATTGGGGATGGATTTACTACGGAAAGTTGGGGCTGTATTGAATGTTAAAGATGGAGTTCTCGAGATCGGTGGTGAAGAGTTGCCGTTTCATGAAGACAAAGAAGATGTTATCAGCTTAATAACTACTTGTGACGTAACAATACCCGGTAATAGCGAGAAAATTTTGATGGCCAGACCTGATAGTTACTGCCGAGAGGGAAGTTTGAGGATGGTCGAAGATGTGAACAATGCCGAGTTCCTAACGGCAAAAGCTTTGGTGAGAATTCGAGATGTCGTTCCTGTAAGAGTTATGAATTTAAAGGGAACTGCTATTAAGTTAAGTAAAAGAACTTTGATCGGACAGTGTGTTCCCGTGGCTTCGATTTGTTCCATGAAAACTAATGAGAAACCGTCGAAATCTAAGTATCCAAAGGAGCTTGTTGAGACGATGATTAAAACGTGCCAAGATCTTGATGATGAACGAACTAAAAAAGTAAAGTCTATGCTGATAGAATTTCAAGATGTTTTTGCTGTTGATAAGAAGGATAATGGCAAAACAAGCATAGTAAAGCACAAAATTAATACCGGAGACGCTCAGCCAATCAGACAACAACCTAGACGACTTCCATTTGCGAAAAGAGATGAAGCCGAAGACATCATCAAAGATATGAGCAAACAAGGGGTAATTGAACCATCAAACAGTCCATGGACGTCACCAGTAGTACTAGTAAAGAAGAAAGATGGTTCAACACGTTTTTGTATTGACTACCGACAGCTCAATGCGGTAACTAAAAAAGATAGTTATCCTTTGCCCAGAATAGACGATACTTTGGATACACTTTCTGGTTCTCGTTGGTTCTCCACACTCGATCTGAAAAGTGGATATTGGCAAGTAGACATGGAGCCAGCTGATCGTGAGAAAACCGCATTCTCGATAGGATCAGGGCTTTGGCAGTTCACAGTTATGCCCTTTGGTTTATGTAATGCTCCGGCCACATTTGAAAGATTAATGGAGGCAGTTTTAAGAGGTCTAACATGGAAAACATGCCTAGTTTATTTGGATGATGTAATTGTAGTTGGAAGATCCTTCGATGAACATGCCAATAATCTGACCGAAGTCTTTCAACGATTGCGGGCAGCAAATTTGAAGTTGAGTCCGAAGAAATGTCACTTGTTTCGACGAGAAGTGAAGTACTTGGGACATATTGTAGCAAGTAATGGAGTAACAGCTGATCCTGAAAAACTTGCAGCAATTAAGGATTGGCCAGTACCAAGAGATAAACACGAAATTAGAAGCTTTCTTGGCCTTTGTACATATTACCGACGTTTTGTCAAAGGATTTGCCAACATCTCCAAGCCATTAACAAAGTTGACAGAAGAAGGCAAAGAATATACATGGAGCGAAGAGTGCCAGAGAGCTTTCGAACACTTACAAATGGCTCTGATCAGCGCACCGATTTTAAGCTACCCTAGACAGGCAGGAAAATTTGTGTTGGACACCGATGCCAGCAACAGTGCAATAGGAGCTGTTCTCTCCCAAATCCAAGATGGGCAGGAGAAAGTCATCGCATACTTTAGCAAAGTCTTGTCGAAACCAGAAAGAAACTATTGCGTTACCAGGAGAGAATTGCTAGGCGTAGTAAAGGCTTGCGAGCATTTCCATAAATACTTATATGGCAGAAAGTTTCTTCTTCGCACGGATCACGCTGCTCTAAAATGGCTCCTACAATTCCGTAATCCAGAGGGTCAGATGGCAAGATGGTTAGAACGATTACAAGAATATGATTACGAGATCGAACACAGAGCTGGAAGAGTTCATTTAAATGCTGATGCGCTTTCGAGAAGGCCGTGCAGTGAATATTGTAATCACTGTCTTAAATTAGAAGAAAGACTTTGCCCCGTGAGACGAACCACCGTCATTAATGATCAATGGCAGCCACAACAGCTACAAGACGCTCAAGCAGATGATCCATGTATAAAGAGAGTATTGGATTGGATGCATCGAAGTGAAAGGCCTTCTTGGCAAGACATTAGTGCATGTAGTCCTGAAGTCAAGTGTTACTGGAGCCAATGGAATTGCCTAGTGCTAAAAGATGATCTCCTTTATAGAACCTTTGAGAACGATGATGGTACAGAAACTAAGTTTCAGTTGATTGTACCTAAAAGTAAAGTGTCAGAAGTATTACGTCAGTTGCATGACGGTGCATCAGGTGGACACTTTGGTATTACGAAGACTCTGCAAAAGGTTCGAGAACGATTCTATTGGGTGAATTGTAAAGATGATGTAAGAAGATGGTGCCGGAAATGTGAACTGTGTGCAACCAGTAATGGTCCAGTTGGTAAAAAGAGGGCACCCATGAAACAGTACAATGTTGGTAGTCCTATGGAACGAGTAGCAATCGATATTGCAGGTCCACTTCCAGAGACAAATGATGGAAATAAATATATCCTGGTAGCCATGGATTATTTTACGAAATGGACTGAGGCCTATGCGCTACCAAATCAAGAAGCTGCTACCGTTGCAGAGGTACTGGTTAAAGAATTCTTTAGCCGATTTGGTGTTCCCTTGGAGATCCACTCCGACCAAGGGCGAAACTTCGAGTCAAACCTTTTCCAAAACGTTTGTAAATTGATTGGCGTCAATAAGACCAGAACGACACCCCTTCATCCTCAATCAGATGGAATGGTCGAGAGAATGAACCGAACGATGGGTAAACACCTGTCCAAAGTTGTATCAGAACATCAAAGAGATTGGGACCAGCACATTCATTTATTTCTAATGGCGTACCGCTCGGCTGTGAATGAAACTACGGGCCAGACTCCAACCTGCCTGATGTTAGGTCGTGAAGTTCGTTTGCCCTGCGACCTAGAGTTTGGCTGCAGACCTTCTGAAGAATATGTTGCAAGCGAAGATTATGTCGACCGCCTAAAGTTAAGAATGAACAACATTCATGAACTTGCCCGACAACACATCCAGTTAGCCAGTGACAGAATGAAAGATCAATATGATTCTCGATGCAAAAATGAAAGCTATAAAGTAGGTGATCTTGTTTGGCTTTATAATCCACAACGTCGTCGTGGCTTGTCTCCTAAACTGCAAAGACAATGGGAGGGTCCGTATGAAATTAAAAAGAGAATAAATGACGTAATATACCGAATTAAAAAGTTACCGAAAGGTAAACCAAAAGTAGTTCACATAAATCGGCTTGCACCTTATGCTGGCTCAAATGAAACAGAAGAAGCACGAATCCTTCAATATGAGATCAAAGATAAACGGCGACCAAGCTTTAAGGAGTTTATGTCAAATTACGCAGAGAGAAAGAATGCTAGATTCGGCGTGACGACAGAAGTTCAGCAGGATCTTTTTAGTGTTCCGCATAACGTCTCTCTAGCCCACTGTGTTGCCCAAGATCTTGAGATGACTAAAGGAATCTCATCTGTATTTTATAAGAAGTTCGGTCGTTTGGACGAGTTAAAAAACCAGCAGCCTAAAGTTGGAAGAGTACTGAGATTAGAAGATGGTTCTCGATCTTTGCTGTATATGGTGACCAGGAAGTCGTATACAGACAGGGCAACCTACGAGGATATATGGTGTGCTCTAACTAATTTGAAGAAAATCGTCTGCAATTACGACATTAAGAATTTGGCCTTACCCAAGATAGGCCATGCACTAGATAATCTGGATTGGAAGATTGTCAGAAGCATGCTTGAAGTGATCTTCCGGGAAACCGGCGTACGAATTACTGTGTGTTGCACTAATCCGAAGAGATCGTGTCCTTCAAAGACAGTAGACTGTTATTTCTTTATGAGGGGTTCATGCAGAGCTGGAGAGTCCTGTAGATTCCGCCATCCTGGGCCTACATATAGAGTTGCTGATCGGGACGCTCAGATCTAAGAGGGGAGCAGTGTTACGAACATGCTTTCGGCATGACTCATATAACGGTTACATCTCGAAACGGCTTCCAGAATCATCCTTAGATCTCTCGAAGGCAAGAGAACAATGGGCCACGTGCGCGAATTAGAGGTGGGAACTTTCTAGAAAATAGTAACTTAGGTATATATATGTAACGACCTTAGGAGTTAGTTAGTCGTTAAGATATTACCGAACTGTAAAGTTATAAATAAATATATTTATATAAATTCGAACCGCTCGTTTTATTTAAAAACGGTACAGTATGAACCTGACTCGGTACTGTAACTACCCGGTTTTGAGTTTAATTGTTTTTTGAGAGGCGAAAAACTGTCACCCGAAGGCTTTGTATTAAACATCCATAAAAAAGATGACAGAAAAAAATGCTGTAACTATAGTGATTTAAGTACAAACTCTGTTTCTAGACTCTATGACAAGTTTATAAAAGAAAGAATGGTGAACCAAGTTACAAAAAAGAAGGGGCAAAGTGGATTCCATGAGGAACGTCTTAAACTGACAACCTGTTTTATCTAAAACAGCGTTTAGAAAATATAACAACCAGAAAATGTTATTTAGAAAAGGCTACGGAACAAACGATCACCTATTGGTAATAAAAAAATCTTATAGAAAAATGTATTAACTACAATAAACCACTAGATTTAATATTTGTGGATTATGAAAAGGCTTTTGACACCATATATTAACTAAAGGAGAATTAAAATTTAATATGTCTAAAACCTTTAATAAGTGTGTTTTGCCAGTATTGACTTAAAGAGCGAAAACGTTGACTATGACAAGGAGAACGGTGAATAAGATCCGTGTGGCTTAAAAGACGATGGAGCGTGGTATTAAGGGCGTCTCAATGCGAAGCACATTCCAAACCGCCAGCTACAACGAATATCAGAAGTGGCTGATGGTGTAGAGAGAATAGCAATACCGCTGAAGTGTAACTGAGCAGGTCACGTAGCTCGAATGACAGATAACAGATGAACAAAGAAGATACTGGAATGGAAACTGGGAGATGATGCCTACCGAGGCAGAGATCGTCTGCCATAACGTTGGACTGACAATATAAAACGTTGCCTTAGGAATTGGATGCAAGAGGCACAAGATTGAAACAAATCGAAAATTATAAGGGAGCTTCTATGTTCATCACTGGACAAGCGATGATTAGATGATGACGATATATAAGAATATAACAGATAGTGTCAAGGTTGGGAAGAAGCTTTTTGAAGAATTTCCAATTACTACAGGATTGAGGCAAGGTTGCCCAATGGCTATAACAGTATTTAATTTATTTAAATTTACGACCATAAAGACGCACATGTTATAATACGGTATATCTATAAATGGCAATAAACTTTTTTACTTTGCACTTTACTAGCGACTAATGTAGGATATGTGATTAGGAAGTTATATGAAGAATAAATAGCTTGGGGTTTGACGACAAATATTGAACAGACCAAATATGTAATTATTGGAAAAGCAGATCAAAATAAAGTAGTTTTACACCAATGTGAAATTTGTATATGGCATATTAACAACTTGTCTATTTTGAACTGTTATCAATACATGTATGTTGAGTATGTTATCAATACAAGTGACATCGTCGAGGCGAAGATCGGCAATCATCATAGCTTTTCGGACTTTAAAGGCAGGTACTCTGAAATTTTCATTTGATCTACATCCGTACCAATCTCTCATTTTGCGCAGCAATGACATTCTACGCCTCCCTATGTTTCTCTTGCCTTGGATCCTTCTCTGCATATTAAGACATAATAAGACATGGACATAATATAATGGAATATAACTAAAAAAATATAATATGTTCATTGCAAACTCAAGAGTTGAAAACAATGAGGACAACGATGAAAAGCCAAAAAAAAAATTAATTAAATAAACTTGTGCAATTGAATAATACTATAGAGCTAGGAAAACATGGATAAAACCAAGACAAAACCCCAAGATTTTAAATGCATAATGCATTAAAAAAAAAACAAATCCTTTAAAGCTCAATATTTACATATTGTAATTTAGGGTTTTGATATTGAGCTCAATCCAATCTAGCTTTTGTTACCTGACGTTTCCGGATATTAATTGATTATTACTTTTTGAATAATTTTATTTAGAATTTAACGTACTATTCCATATAACTTTTGATAATTGCTGACCAGTATATCAGTGACTATTTTTGTATCAACAATAAAAAAAGTTTTGTTTATTAAGAAAATATTTTGAGTTTCTTTATCTGTTTTTAATACAACTAATTCTTTTATTTTTATCAGACCAAATATGCCCAAGATAAAAACCTTGGTGGTGTTATGGTTTGGGCTATCGAAACAGATGATTTCCAAGGTTTATCTGGAGTTAAAAATCCACTCTTAAGAGCTATTAACGAACAATTGGTAAGTATTTAAAAAAAAAATATCTCTAATATTTCACTTAGTTAAATTTTATTTTATTTATGGTCAACTTTACCTAGATAACCTAATGTTTCGGTGTTTTCGCTGCTTAACGCGTTTTGTTACAGATCAATAATTGAACAACTCTTCCGCATATATGTAAAAAAAGCGAAAGCACACATACTTGTCGAATTCCTCTTATAATTTATTAATTCTAATGTAGGTAAATAAATAATAAATAAGACTTACTCACAATCAATTTAATTTAACTATCAGACGACCGGTTTGGCTTTCTACAATATGCAAAGCATCTTCAGGTCTCGATACAAAGTTAAATAAATGCTGAAATGATAAAAACCCATATTAGGGTGTTAGGGGTCTAATAAAGATAAACAACACCCTAATATGGGTTTTTATTATTTCAGCATTTATTTAACTTTGTATCGAGATCTGAAGATGCTTTGCTTCAGTTAAATTAAATTAATTGTGAGTAAGTCTTATTTATTATTTCTTTACCTATTTGAAATTGACTCACACAAGCAACACATTCATGATTTTAGTTCTAATGTCTTACATAGAATGTCGGCTGTTTGATTCCTGTACAAACCAGATATTATCCGATTGTCCGGTCCATCCAAACTGTCAAAATACCAATTAACTTCTTGTGTTTAACACTTCTTGTGTCAAATACTTTCTCGTAGTTGACAAAGCAGGAATATACAAAAACATTTATATGTCGATATTTCTGTGTAAGAGCTTGGCTAAATAACGCTACTCTTGTACCGAAACCATTCTTGAAGGCAAACTGGGATTTCCCAATGTTTTGTTCACATCTGATATACAGTGTTAGCTAAAAGTCCCCTTCCCCTCTCTTATCTTTTGGACGATTATACTTATAATGATGCAGTTTGGAGAGAGGAAATAAATGGACGTAAGCTTCCCAACTAGTCATAACAAGTGACACGTTACAGAACTTCTGTGACCGATAATTTTAAATAGGACTTTATAACAAGTGATCTCATTTAAAAGGTATTGAAAATTCCTATTCAAATCAATCATACTAATTTTGTTTAGGTTTAATCTGATTTTGATGAATAAATTAAATAAATACTGTGTATTCGCATTTAATTAATAAATATTTAAGAACTAGTTCTTATAATTAGTGTTTAAAAGATGCTCTATCTACTTCCTGACAGTAATTCATAGTATTTTTAAACTCTTGTTGTACTTGTTCAAATGTCGTGAGAACTAGCCCTACATTCTTCAATAACTCGTTGTTTCAAAATGTCAATACTGCCGGGTGCTGTAGCGCGAACCTTAAATTTTAGAAAAAATCTAATGGTGTGAGGTTTGGTGACTAAACTGGCAATTTTTACGAATCTCGTGATCTACTCTACCTACCACGATATTCCTCATCTAATTATCGTCTTACTGCACCATAATAATGTGCAGAAGCACCATCGTGTTAAAACGTTATTTCTAAGTTGTCGAATACATCTGGATTATCTTTAAGAATTTCAAGAAATAACGAGTTAATTGCGTTTTGTAACATCTCCAAATACACATCACAAGTTAGCATTGTGAAAAACAGGCCTTAGTATACTCTCCTTTGACTGATTTCACAGATAAACGCAACTTAAGCTGTAAATGAATGGTTCACAACCATTTCTGCAATTACGTAAATTTTTTGTGTCAGCATTAATTATTGGTCGATCAGTTATCTTAGAAGTAAAGCTGAACAAATAGTTTGGATAAGATAAATAAACTAAGATATTAACTAATCATATTTATTGTACATAAATAAATATAAAAACTAAAATTTTAATATTAAATGTAGCTGGACAGGATTTCAGCAGCATGTACTGGTTAGATGCTGATGATGTGATTGAATTTAAATACTTTTATCTTTGTCTTTTCTAGTGGCCATTGGGTTCTAAATAAAAACTGCTAAACATTTGCTTCCTTTTTGTGTTTGTGTATTAAAAGTGACACAAATTAAATGGTGTATGGTTAAATTTAGAATATTAGTTTAAAATAAGTAAAATTGACAATTTGTTTCGTTCTCAAACTCATGAAAAGAATCGTGTATTTTTCTTTATAGTTTGAATTAACAAAAGATGAGCGATAACAATAAATATTGTCCTTGACATGGGTTTAAACACCTGGGAATTTACAGCAAGCTAATGAGGTCCATTGTTATTTTTTTATCGAGCACACAATTGGAAAGTACAAACAATTTGGGAAATTGGAAATTTTGTTTTGTTTTGAAAGACGAAAGGTGATTGGCTAATAAGAGACGGTGGAATGAGATTTTGGACGATAATGGTTTTTGAAAGAGAAGGAGATTATCTGTTTTTGACGTGAGAAGCAAAAAAATCCAATTCTGTCAAGTGAACGAGTATTGGCAAATTTAAACAGTGTAAAAGTAATTTGTGAAAAAAAATTAATAAGTGGGAGCAGTTCTGGTCTATGAATGTTGATTAAGGGAAAGTGCAGTTTAAGCTTTTGCAGTATTTATTGCAAGTACAACCAGTTAATATTTATCTGGAGAATCATAGGCAAGGAGATTTCTGGTAGCCAAAAGGGAACGAAAAGATAGTTTGAGCTAGATTCCGTGTAAGCAGACCAAAGGAAGGAGTGAAGCTACAAAGTTTTGGTGAACGAATATTAGGGACATTTTAGAATTGAAAGTTAATCGTGTGTTTAAACAATAAAAAAAAACTATTATGTACTAATGATAGTTGTTAATTTTCTGTAGATAATATCTGTTTTAAAATAGAATTTGGGCTGCGCAGTTCAATTTGTCAGGATATGATAAAATTTATATGTCGATTTTTTTTTTGTATAATAATTTTTTAAGATATTTAAACATTATATTGATTTGTATTGATCTTATTTAAATTTTATTTATTTTCTTCTACTCATGTTATTGTTTATGAACAGAATACACAGCTAAAAGTATTTCTGTTTTCAAATAAGAATCCTGAGATATAATCTAATTAAGAATTTGATGTCTGTAATTAAAAGTATTCAGATAATATATAAATTAAAACCCAATAAACTATTTTTTGTTTATTTTATAGATATATTAAAATTATAATCATGATCAAAAAATTTTGAAAAATCAAAATGATAATAATATATATTGATTAAGTTAATACATTGTCCGCTAATACTTTTTAATACCATATTCATTATGTTTAAGAAAATTTACGTAAATATTTTAATAAGCTCTTGATAGTTAAAAAAACACGAGTTTAATATTTTATCATATGTACTAAAAGACTTTTTTATTTTAAGGGAACTACCAGTTCGGGTTCATCTTCATCTTCATCTTCAAACGCTGCTTCAAATTCAGCTTCAGCTGCAGATTCTTCAGCTTCAGCTGCATCATCCTCAGCATCGGCTGCAGAATCCTCAGCTTCGAATACAAACAGTGCAGACGCTTCAAATACCGCAAACTCTGACTCTTCAAATACAAGAATTCAAAGCAATGGATGCACTAAGGTTGGATATGTTAGGGATTCCAGCGATTGTTCCAAATTCTACTATTGCTCTGCTGATGCCAGTGGTTCTTTAGTCGGTACTCAATTTACATGTAGTCAGGGTCTTTATTTTGATACCGCGAGTAACGTATGCAATTGGAAGGCTTTAGTTACTGACTGTGTCTAGAAGAAATCAATGTACTTCTCAGTTTTTCCTTTTGTTGAATAGACATTGATAGAAATAAATTAAAAAACTTTATGTAAAGATATTTGTGGACTTTTATAATGTACGTTAAGAAATAAAGGAATTAAAAAAAGTATTCTCGACTACTTTTTTAAAATAAAAAAAAAACCCAGCCTAACAACTCTTTGGTTCCATTTTTTAAAATAATCTTTTTTGAGAATGATTTTTGGAGTAAAATTGAAAACGTCAAACAGCAGTTAAAAACGCCACTTAGGTATGCCACAAGAAAACAGTTTCAGGACATTTTTATACTGAAATATTATTAGTTTTTTAAATATACTAAAGCTTTATTAATAGCTAAAAGTTCAGCACTGGCGATAGATAAGTTATGAGGTAAATTAAATAGTTTTTATCTACTTGCCTTAGAAGGAACATTTGTCTTGAAAGGAATTATTAATTTCAGGTTTTGGTTGCATTAGTCTAAATTATAATTGTCCATTCTGACCACTTACTTAAAAGTTTTCTTAAAATCTTGTAATTAATTTAAGAATTTTCATGATCTTTAATATCTATAGTGGTTATATTGTATTACTAATATATATCCTAGGAGGAAACATTCATTAAACTTCCCGTGCTCGAATCGGTATCAATTAAGTGTTATGACTCATTTTAGCATATCTGCTTCATCAAACACTTGAGCTGAGAAAAATCCAAACTCAGACAGTCCAACGAATGTCTCCTAAAACTTGACCACTGCAGTGTCCGCAAGCGTACACAAGTGCCACCTGCTTTGGTGGCCATGAACGAAAACGATTTAATAATATCGTTTTCTGTACTCTGGGCTATACGAAATGTGTAAAAGATTAAATATTTTAGAACCGCTACTGATCAGCCATGCTGTAGCAGAAGCGGAAATCGTCGGGGCCTTACAAAAAATGAAATCTCAAGCAGCCGGTCCTAGTTTCATTAAGATCCGTGAGCTGCGTAAGGTACCCGTTCAGAAATTGGTCCTAGTGTATAATACCATGCTCCATTTTGGTGTCACTCCTGAAGTATTAAAGGATTGCAGGACCACTTTAAAACCAATGGGTGGCGATCCAATGAAGGTAGGTAATTGGCGTCCGATAACCATTTCATCAGTAATGATCAGGGTGTTGCATCGTCTGTTAGGAAAGAGGCTTGCGGTGCTAGATTTCCACGAGCTTCAGAGAGGCTTTAGTCAGGCGTTCTATTGAACAACCTGACGCTTCAAGCGGTTATCAAAGAACAAAGAAGACGCCTTCGTCCATATAACATTATTTACATCGATCTACGTAAAGCTTTCGACAGTGTATTTTAACGATCTAGAGAAGCTATGAATCGCTTCAGGTTAGGCGATACATTTAAGCGGTATGTGGTGGACTCGTACCTGAATTGTCGGCGAGGGTCGCTACCGGAAGCAAGTCGACTTCGTACATCAAGATGTGTAGACGCGTAAAACAGGAAGATGCCTTGTCGCCCTACCTCGTTATTATGGTGGTCGATGAGCTGATATGTAAGCACGAGGCAGGCGTGCCTCGCCTTTTAATTGCAAACGGCAGGAAGATTACAGTGTTGGGCAACGCTGATGATTTAATCCTGCTGTCCGAATCTGCCAAAGATAGTTTCAAACAGCTCCCGACAGCCATCGAATTTTTCGAGAAGAGAGGGATGTCGATAAACGCTGGTAAGAGTGCAGCTATTACGTTTAACGTCAACTATGCTAATAAGCACTTTTACTGCGTAATGCGCTCTCTCTTTTCTGTCGGTAATGGTAGGATTCGGCAGCTGCAACCAAGTGAGCTAGTTGGATACCTAGGCCGAAGGTATAATCCTCTAGGACAGACCAGGGTGACCTTCAACGAGCTGCAGACACAGCTCGATCGTATTCATCGAGCGGGGCTAAAACCAGTGCAAAAACTGCTGGTTTTAAAAATGCTTGTGCTTCTGAAGTATATCGACAAGTTGCAGAGTCCAACCATCACTATGAAGACGTTGAAGGGCTTTGACAGGTCCGTACGTATAGCTGTTCGGAAGTTTCTGTCCCTCAATCGTACGTGCGCAGATGCTTACATCCACGCTCCCACAAAAGAGGTGGCCTGATCCTTAAATGGATAAAAACATCTTCGGACAATTCAGCATCTATCGCACGTGAATTGAGCCAGAAACTTAAGGAAGGCTATAATGGAAACGGACTTCGCTAAGGCTCTTCACATTCCGAAAGCTCAGCCTAGATAAGCAATCTACTGCCAACTAGAGGCATCCCTTCAAATCCACCACATGAACGGAGGTGCCGAAAGGGATGCAAACGTAACAAGAGCCTTAGTCACATCTTGCAAAAGTGCCCCGCATCACATTGGCACCGGATTATAAGACACGACCAGCTTGTTACGTATCTACGAAAAGCAGCGGGAAAGAAAGGGTGGATTTGAGAGGCTGAGCCGCGCATAAGATGAGTCGACATGACTCTGAAGATACCTGACCTTGTCGCGCAACAGGGTGAGCGGGTAAATGTCGTGGACGTTGTCGTCAGCTGGGAGAGTCCTGAACCCATGAGTACAGCCGCTGCTAATAAAACAGCGCTGTACACAGAGCATTGATTCCTTCAGACCACGCAGACCAAATATCCAGGGAAACAGATTTGCATGGAACCTTTAATCATGGGAGCTTGCGGAACATGGTGTCAGTCGAATTCTCGTGTCATGAGAATTTTAAACCTTTTAAGTTTGAGTCCGCAATTTTATTAGTAAGGCCATTCAGGATAGCATTCATATTCATAGTCATTTAATGAGGTCCTAACATAAATGACTTACGAGAATCTCATTTTCGAATATTTGATATCGGCTTCTTTCTATCGTGGGATCTACGTTCGTCTAGTTTGGAGTATTATCCTTTCACTTCTTAAATATTGTGTTTGTCTATTCATGTCTGTGAATGTCCCAATTTACTATATTTTATATTTATATTTTTAAACTTTTTTGATAACTATCTTTTAAGTTATCACACTGATTTTTCTGAGCCCGCGATAAGCGTTTGGCAGAGTTTTCACTACAGGGCGGGATGGTCGGATTCACGTCCGATATGATACTGGCCAAACATTGGGCCATAAAGGGCATGGCCCGGCCTACAAACTAAAGGAGGTTATGACTCCACTCTGATAGCGCCGGTAGTCACTTGGACTGCGTGATAAAATCCGACGCATTTTCTTGGATAATACGCATACATTTCTTAGAAATGATAACACAATGAATTCCTCTACCCTATTGCATCGCAGTGTCACAAATATTTCGCTGATACAGCTCCGCTTGTAAAAATAAAATGATTGTGCAGTCTAGGATCACTTTGTATGCACCTTATCTTGGTACTACTGGTCGCTACTGCAATCCGTGAGGAATATTTAATAATCTTTCGGTCGCAGTGTGGGAAGGAAAGGATATATGGGAATTAGATGGAGTAGGTACAGGATTGGCACTTTTTTTCTACCCTTTTCACCCCTAAGAGGGGAACTCAGGAGAGAAACAGTAGCTGGCGTAGGGGCAGGGTTACCAAACCAAGCCCTGAAGTAGTCTGTCCTTTACTAGGAACTGTAAAAGAGTACTACTCGCTAACCCAACCTGTTACTTACCAACGCTACCTGTTTGACTAAAATGCATCAAATACCAAGTTTGATCAAAAAATACAAGAGTATAACTTAATGTTTATTACTGTTACAACTTAAACAATAAATAAAACATTTAAGCTAATTAATTTTTTAGACACAAACAAAAAATGACGAATTTTAATTACTGTTCTAATATTCTTGAACTGAAGAGTGTTTGTTAACATTTGTTACCAACAGCTACATTATAGGTGCATCATTCGGTATTACGACTAAAAACATAAAACAAAATATTAGTTGTAATTTCTTACCAAAAATTTTTTTTTGTAATAAAAAATATTTTTTTTACTATCTTGGAAATAAAACACAATTTCACCGATTGAAAGTACATATATTTTGAAGTATCTATTTCCACTTCGGGAATTTCCACGTTCTCGAAATACAAATTAAACAATTTTTTTTTGTAATGCAAAATATTCTTCTGATAATTTAATTTTATTTGTCTCATTTATATTGACAATTCAAACCTATAATTATATATTGTATACTTTAACTCTTCATGAATACTAAACCGTCATGTTGGGTACAATTGTACCAAATAATTTTAATGTATATATAATTCGACAGAAATCTGTAACTTAAACTTAAACCAGTTTAAATTTATATTTATTAAAAGTACTATATCTTTGCGTTTTGTACCCAGATACAGCATGGATCGTTTTGTTCAAAAATAAAATTAATTTCCAAAGCAATATGGCGGCAATTGCATTGTTGATAAGAGGTAAGTATAATGGAGAACATGTCAATTATTATTATTGAAGTTATCACACGAAGTTTTCACACGGAGTTTGATTATCTATCAGCGGCACATGCGAAGTGCAAATCTAGTCAATCCACCTAGCTACTCGTATTTCTGCAAAAATCCGAATACCACCTCCCAAATCCAAATTTAATCGTTTTTTTCACAGATCCACCCAGGTCTATGACGAAATCCAGATTTATAAGATTATATTTATAATCGTATTATAAACCTAGACAAAATAACGTATTAGCAAAAAAGCAATTATTTGTTAATTTAAATACATTTTTAACCTTCTATTCTGGTTTTACTATCTATATAGTTTCATATATACTATTCTTAAAAGTACTGTACCCCAAATTCTCCATTGGTTTTATTAAGACATATTACCAAATATTTAAAAACATACTTACCAAATTTTCGATAATAGGTTTCAAAAGTGCATTTTTCTTTCCAGATAATCCTTGAAAATCATCCATATCAAGGGACCAAACCATAACACCTCCAAGACCTTTTTCCTTGGCATAAAGGGTCTGAAAGTAAAACAAGGCTAAATATTACATTCATTAAATAAAACAAATTTAGAATGAGAAACAATGGGATGGATTGGTAAAGCCATATTTATATTTGTTCTGGATCATACGTGATGAAGAGCTAAAGTAAAATAAAATACCAAATAAGGTTCTGAACTACTTTCTTGTAACATGTCTATC